CTCTCAATTTATTTCTGAGATATTAATTCAATTTAATTGAATGTATATTAGATAGTAGTTCAACATCTTAACACTCGACCGAAAAGGCGCTTTGTATTTAAAGTCTTAATAATACCATTATAGTTCTAGCCATGACTCCGTTTCAAGATTGGAGAGGCCTTTGCACAGTTTGTAGAATTGTCTAGTGTACTTGTATAAATTCATACTGAAATATTTAGATAATAAGATCAACTTTGGTCGATTATAGGATTTCATTTACCTAATTGATGGAATTAAAATTTATTTATCCAATTATGACAATTTTTTTATACGATTTATAGCATATATATATTATTTCTTGTATATATATTATTTCTAAAGTTTATTTATAAGCATGTCAAATCAGGAACAAAAATCTGTTATAAATAAAATTAATATTTCTTGTATTATAATTAAGGTAATTAAGTTTTATAAGATACATATAAAACAAAAAATGAAAAGAATAAAAAGAGGGACTGAATTAATAATGTATAATTGTATGAAATATTATATATTTAGAAACAGCTTATGTCACGAATTTACCGTTGTATCAGTAGAAATTTTATGATTGATAATGCAATAATGAGACAGAATCATATTGCAACAGTTTAATCAATCCTATTATAACAATAAATGATTATCGTTATTAAACGATAATTTGATATTGTAGCAGTGAACCGTGCAAACGTTCAAAGAAATAAAGTATTTATTTTTATCTAAGGGATCAGTTGATCAACAATATTATGCGAGGAATGAATTCTTTGCAATTAGGATAACTTAGATACCGGTGGTATACGTCTGTATGGAAACATATTATTCGTTATAACATTATTCTGAAAAACTAACATTATATATTATATTTGTAAAGATACATAAAATTCCACATTGAATACACTGCCTAAACTCATTTTTGAAAAGAGAATGAGATCAGACATACTTTATTGTCGCTTACGCTGATTTTGTAGATATAAAAAAAGATTCGATATCGTCAAAGTGTATTCTTATATATGTGTCATTGCGTAGTTTAATATAGGCTTGATGGCAATTACACTGAAAATTAATTCGCACATTTGTAAAGGTAAGTAAAATTCCACATTGAATACACCGAAAGGAAAAATAAACGAATAAAAAAATGGAAAAATACAAATAAGAAATGGAAAACGCATGAATAAAAAAGAGCTCTAATACATCAGTCGCTCAGTGAATAGTTATCGCCGCAGTCATCGCATCAAAAGACGTCTGTGAGAATATTATACTTTAAACGTTAAACAAGAATTGTACGTTAACGTTACTCTGTGTGAAATTGATAAACAATATTGCTCGTTGATGATGCATTTCAGTCGCAGTATAAGAAACTTGGATTTCGAAACGTGCTTACTCGCAGTAATACATGATGTAGCAAACATAAGACATAGCAGATGTATAAACGTGTACATATCAATGTGTGTGATTCGAAGTTTGAGGATTATGTAAATTTAAATCTTTCTATATATCATTGTACGATTCATGGTGTTACTGATGGAATATATAGTATACAGCGAATTTCATGCACACATAGTGGAATATATATTATTTCAATGTCCTAAAATGTAATTATTATATCTATATTAAAGTATAATCGCACACACACATAGAAGCGAAATTGAAATAACTCTTGTTGTGAAAATAATAATTTTCAATGATAATTTGGATATGTTGCTAGAAAATGTGAAATAGTGTTCACTAATTAGTGAGACTTATGGCGACATTACTGATTCAGTCAGTTGGCTCACTACATACACTAAGGATTCCATGGAATGCAAAGCTTCTAAAAATTTGTTATGGGGATCACTATATAAAAAAGAGACTTATGATACATGAGTCTTATTTCATCAGTCGCTCTATGAACCGTTCCTACTACATAGAGCAGATTACTTTTACTGTATCAGAGTATATACCCTTGAAAACGTCTCACGCTATGAACTATTACGTTTCAGTTTAACAGAATGAGGCGTGCGAGAGACAGTAAGTTTATTCAATTTTTACAAAATTTTGATTGTACATTTTATAGGTTATGAATTTTTCTAAGGTCTATTTACATGTTTCCTATTTTCTACAGCGCATCTTCTCATACATCTTCTCATACATCTTCGAAACCTCGTTATATCTTAATGAGGATATATGCATTGATATTGGCAGCGTATAAGTTTTTGGACATCGGTATCGTTATGGGACTTACATGGGACTTACGTCTCATGTAGAAATTGCGATCAGGCAATCGCATAATTCTGCCTCGTGCTACGTGGAAGGCGTTCATCGAGAGACGTGCAAATATTGAGCGATTAATGCAATCAACTGTCCCATCATCATCATCATTATCATCGTCATCATTATTATTGATTCAAAATCTGAATGTGGAACTTGTTAAAATAGATCATAGGAATAACGTAAAATTAGCATTATATGGTACATGCTTGTACATGAAACCAACAACTATACTCTTCTTATTTGAGCTTGAGCAATGTGTTGAGCATGTATTCTATGAACTGAGTTAATATATGTGTGTTAATGAGAAATTCAAATATTTTGTATCATTTTAAGAGAAAATTGTATTACTAATAAACGCAATGCTGCAAATATTTTATACAAAATTTATGATAAAAATTCTATCATAGAATGTGAATTAATAGTCTATGGTTTAGATTATATTGTACATGCTGCATTACATGATAAATAAATGTTCATTAAA